TGAGCATGTCCTGCTCTCAGATCCACTGTCGAAGTGATGCAGTTGTCTCCACGACATCTTCTCTTTACATCAGCTGTCTGCTTTCTAATGGGTTGACTTGACTTGAACTTGAGCTTGATTCTCTTGTTTTTGTTTTGTTTTTATTCAGAGATCTCATGACAATGAGCCTCATGTGCTACCGAGTCATGTGCTACCTTCAACCGAACCTCCACTAATTCACTGCCCGAAACTCAGATTCAGTATCAGGTGTTGCATGGTTTTGCACACTGAAAAAGTTTCTTGTGCAAATGCCATCAGTTCAGATTCAATGATGTGCACAGTGTGTATATATATATATTAAATGTTAATATATATATATATATGTAAATAAAGAAATATATATATATATATAAATATATATATAAAAATAATATAAATAGACATTTAATACACCTATTGAAAATAGATAGATAGATAGGTAGATAGGTAGATAGTAGGTAGATAGGTAGATAGGTAGGTAGATAGATAGATAGATAAATAGATAGATAGATAGATAGGTAGATAGATAGATAGATTGATAGACAGAAAGATAGATAGATAGATAAAAAGATAGATAGATAGATAGATAGGTAGATAGATAGATTGATAGACAGATAGATAGATAGATTAGTCAGGTAGGTAGGTACATGGATAGATAGATAAATAGGTAGCAAGACAAATAGGTAGACAGATGAATAGACAGATAGATAGACAGATAAGTAAACAGATAAGTAGATACACAGATGAGTAGATAGACAAACATGTAGAAAGAATAGAAGTATAGTAGATAAATTGGTAGATGGATAGATAGGTAGATAGATAAGTAGAAAACCAGGTAGCAAGAAAACAAGTTGGTAGATAAATAAAGGTCTCAGCTGCACTGGGGACCTTGGGTGGTAGTCGAAAAACTGCTGGGTAATTCCTGGGAGTGAGAAAGACAAACCATACAAACGGAAGTCAAACCATAGAAACATTGCGGACCTATTGCTGTCATACAAAAATATATAGGTTTCAACTGCAAAGAGTTGTCCAAATTGCCTTGGGAGTGCCAAAGTTGGAAGCCCAAACACAAGAAAGAAATCGGTTCTCACAGACTTGAGTTTTTTTTTTTTGCAAAACCCAAACCAAGAGGAAATTTACAACGATAGATAGATAGACAGCAAGAAAGAAGAAAATAAAGGAAGGAAGAATGAAAGGAAGGAAGAAAGCACGATATTAGATAAATAGATTGAAAGATAGATCAATAGAAAGAAAGAAAGGTATTACATTGATAGAGAGACAGATAGGTAGATAGATAGACAGATAGGTAGATAGATAGATTGGCAATGAAAATGCCCAAATTTGATGTAACTTTTAGATTTTAAAGAAGCTAGATAGATAGATAGATGGATAGATAGATAGATAGCCAAACAGATAGATAGATAGATAGATAGATAGATAGCCAAACAGATAGATAGATAGATAGATAGAAAGACAGATCCACAGATTAGTTAGGTAGGTAGAACGATAGATAAATAGAAAGATAATGAGAGAGAGATAGAGAGATAGATAGATAGATAGATAGATAGATAAATAGATAGATAGATAGATAGATAGAGAGATAGATAGTGAAATGGGATTCTTACAAAGCGCGTTGCAGAAGGGGTTGGATGATTATACAAGATGTCCAGACGCATGAGTCCCAAGTCATCCTTGGGAAGCCCCACGTCATTGAATCTAGATATTGTATACATACATATATTTACATACACAACTTTTCTCTGTGTCGAGACCTTCAGTGATGGGTGTTGAAAAACCATCCAGTCCTATGATTTTGTCTTTTACTACCAATTGAAAGATGGGTTAGTAACAGCTTCACTTTTAAACTATTACCCCAATTTTCTGGCACTGACTTCTAAGGGAATCACTTAGCTTGTTCAGTACTGCTTGTTCCTGAACCTGGCTGCTGATTATTGAGAAAGTTCTTGACATGACAGGTGTCCAACTTTGAAAGTTTAAGTTACTTGTCGTTTAAGTCACTTGTCGTGTAACTGACTGGGAAGTAATGTTCTGCAGCACTAGTTCTCAAACAACATATATGCCAATATTTGAAAAACTAGAGATCTTGGAGACAAAGTGTTGCAGAACATTAATTCTTCAAGAGATCTTTGACAACTACGGTTGCTCCCAAATCCCAGATCTTCGGTTGGCCCAAATCCCAGATCCTCGGTTGACCCAAATCCCAGATCCTCGGTTACCCCAAATCCCAGATCCTCGGTTACCCCAAATCCCAGATCCTTGGTTGCCCCAAATCCCAGATCCTCGGTAACTGGGAGTTGCCTCAGGAATGGGCATGTTTGAAGTTGAAGTGTGTGTCAAAATCCCAAGTCCTCGGTTGCCCCAAAACCCAGATCCTCGGTTAGCCCAAATCCCAGATCCTCGGTTACCCCAAATCCCAGATCCTCGGTTACCCCAAATCCCAGATCCTCGGTTACTCCTCGGTTTTCCCAAATCCCAGATCCTCGGTTACTCCTCGGTTTTCCCAAATCCCAGATCCTCGGTAACTATGGGCATGTTTTGTGTCCCAGATCCTCGGTTACTCCTCGGTTTTCCCAAATCCCAGATCCTCGGTTACTCCTCGGTTTTCTCAAATCCCAGATCCTCGGTAACTATGGGCATGTTTTGTGTCCCAGATCCTCGGTTACTCCTCGGTTTTCCCAAATCCCAGATCCTCGGTTACTCCAAATCCCAGATCCTCGGTAACTATGAGCATGTTTTGTGTCCCAGATCCTCGGTAACTGGGAGTTGCCTAAGATATGGGCATGTTTTGTGTCCCAGATCCCCTCAAATCCCAGATCCTCGGTTACCCCAAATCCCAGATCCTCGGTTACTCCTTGGTTACCCCAAATCCCAGATCCTCGGTAACTGCGAGTTGCCTAAGAAATGGGCATGTTTTGTGTCCCAGATCCTCGGTAACTGGGAGTTGCCTAAGATATGGGCATGTTTTGTGTCCCAGATCCCCTCAAATCCCAGATCCTCGGTTACCCCAAATCCCAGATCCTCGGTTACTCCTTGGTTTTCCCAGATCCCAGATCCTCGGTAACTATGGGCATGTTTTGTGTCCCAGATCCTCGGCAACTGGGAGTTGCCTAAGATATGGGCATGTTTTGTGTCCCAGATCCCCTCAAATCCCAGATCCTCGGTTACCCCAAATCCCAGATCCTCGGTTACTCCTTGGTTTTCCCAAATCCCAGATCCTCGGTAACTGGGAGTTGCCTAAGAAATGGGCATGTTTTGTGTCCCAGATCCTCGGTAACTGGGAGTTGCCTAAGATATGGGCATGTTTTGTGTCCCCATCCTCGGTAACTGGGAGTTGCCTCAGAAATGGGCATGTTTTGTGTCCCAGATCCTCGGCAACTGGGAGTTGCCTCAGAAATGGGCATGTTTTGGAGTGTGTGTGTGTGTGTCTGTCCCAGATCCTCGGCAACTGGGAGTTGCCTCAGAAATGAAGCTTGTTTCAAAGTGAAGGTTTCCAGATCCCCGGCAACTGGGAGTTGCCTCAGACATGTTGTATATATTTGGGCAAGGTCCAGGCAACCTGTCTATTTTTGGGGTTGGGCTGTCATCCAAAGATTAGACAGGCAACTCAGAGTTGCCTGGTGTCATGGGGGGTCAAGTCAATATATTTTTGAGATAACATGCCTGAAAATGAATTGATGTAACCCTCCATGACCACCGGCAACTCAGAGTTACCTGTCTATTTTTCAGGTTAACTTCAGATTCCCAGAAATAGACAGGTTGCAACAGCCTTGTGAACTCAGGTTGGGGGTCAAGTCAATTTATTTTGGAGATAACATGCCTGAAAATGAATTGATGTAACCCTCCAGACCACCGGCAACTCAGAGTTACCTGTCTATTTTTCAGGTTAACTTCAGATTCCCAGAAATAGACAGGTTGCAACTAGTTGCAACAGCCTTGTGAACTCAGGTCGAACGAGCAAGCCTGCAGTGGGTGCCCTCAGTGGTATGAAGTACCAACTGTCATTTGTCAAGATCTGACATGTCATGTCACTAATTGCCATTGCCACCACCTCTCAAGACGGTCACCTGTCAGTGTCATTGTCACTGAAAATTTCACAATTGATTTGTCCATCGCCATGTCGGCCATCACGAATGAGTTTGTGGTGGCCCCTGAATTGTGGCAAGTCTCCTTGCACAACCATGTGAAAGTCTTGTACCAGGAGTGCTGCCCTACCATGTTTCAAGTTTATTTCAACTTCAATTTCACTTTCAAGTGCTTCCCTGCACAGGAGTGCACGACCACCAGGGAGCTCTTGGCTACGAAGATCGCAGGCTTGACTTTGCCAAGTGCGGTTGAGGACGTGAAGGCAGAGATTGCCAGCATGTTCAAGGCTTTGAGTGGGGAAGATTCTTGGAGACATGTAGGCTTTCATGCGCCTTAAAGTCAGTCAGTCAGTGTGAGTTTTGGTGTGAATTATTCGCACATCTCAGGATGATGAAGCAGCATCTAAGTTTGCAAGCGAGTCAGTGGACCACACTTTGAAAAGCTGTTCGGAGGGCATGGTGTCTAGTTCCATGCCGCACATGTTTCGATGGGACGCATCATCCTTATGGCTTCCCAGCTGCAGATAATCTTCAGACAGTCATGGGCAGATGACAATATGTCAGTGTGAAGTTTTGACAATATGACAGATGACAATATGACAGTCATGTGTGCATCTAGCAATCAGGAGTGGCTCAAGCTGTGAAGCAGCCAACATCATCGGCACCGCCAACTCAATCATCACTTCAGGGTTCAGGGCAGAAGAAACCATTGTCTCAAGGGATTTGCCATCCAGCCTTGGAGAATTGGGATCTTGTCGGCTTGGTGATGGAGTCAAACGAGCATTGGCTTGCAAACTTGTGCCACTAGGCTTCATGTATGTTTTGAATTGATATGTTTGAACTTCACAATGTGTTGTTGTAATGTCACTTTGACCTGAGGTGGTGTCTGATGAGATCTGAAATTGAGCAGGGAAAGCTGGGCACGGATCACACAGCCTTGCAGATTTTCAAGACCCTCTTGAAGGTTCCCACCCTATGGGAAGGCACGGCATCCACCAATGATTCTTTGATTCAGCAGGCATTCCGCCAGAATGTCAAAGGCAGTATGATCAAACCTCTGAGCTGCATTCAATGGTGTGACTTGGTGCTTGTCGCTGCATACCCTGATGGGGATGTCCAGCAGCTGCTGAGTTTTGAGAACCGTTTGGCCAGAAAGGAGGTTGGCAAGCGGTTGGTAAAAACTTTCGAGAGCTTGCTGTGTGGCTTCGACAGCAAGGTGAATGCTGAGGGCATTGTAGTTGGACAGAAACAGGTGCCTTGAAGAGCATTCAGCTGCTTTACTTTCTTCTTGTTTTTTCAGAAAAGTCATCTCAGTTTTTTGTAATTTTGGCTGCGCGAAAGGGGTTAAGAAGGGCGACTTTTTGTGCCCAAAAAGGGTTCCAAAAACAGGACAAAAAGTCGCCAGTAAAAATCCCAAACCAAAAGGAAAATTACTATCAGTCTTCAAGTTTTCAGCTTCAAGTTTCCAGCTTCAAGTTTTCAAAGGCCGTGAAGAGACGACGTGTGAAGAGGACACAGGACAGTGGAAAGCAAGACTCAAACGCAGAGTTGGCTGTGAAGGATCGTGAGATCAAGATCGGCACCGCAAAGCAGACGGCAATCAAGCATATGTTGAATTACTGCACGTTCGAAAGCTATCGTGCTTTGCAGTGTCATCTGTCATTCTTCTCGGAGTCATCTGTCAATGAGTCTGTATTGTCCTGGAAACATTTGTGGCCAACATCAATGCCTGCTGATGGAATGTTCCCATCCGAAGCGGAAGAGTATGCTCGCAGAGCAGGCGCCGCTGCTGCCGCCAAGTTGGTGCCCCCCCGGCTGATGTGCTTTTGCTCAAAAAATAGTTTTATATATGTATATCTAATATAGTGTGTATATATATATACATATGTATATATATATATAAATATGTATATATATATATATATATGTATATACATGTTTATATATATATACATTTTTAAATATTTATATTTAATATATATATAGCGTTTATTTATTCATTTGTTGGTAGTGATTATTCACTTTCATATATTGTTGTTCATTCCAAAATCATCCAAGGTCAAAGCAGTTGGAGTTTGGTGGAGAATTATCACCAGAAGATCACAACCTGATCATGGACAAGATCATTAGCATCCAGGAGGACACCCTTTCCAACCACGATGGATCTTCCAAGGTCACTGTTGATCAGTTGTGGACCTACCGCTTTGTAGTTACATCATGGACCCGTGGCATTGCAGACTGCTGCTCCGCTGACCTGAAGTCCACTGACTTTGAGAATGTCAAGGATGCAGTGCTCAAAGGTGATGCCACTTGCTCGCATCAAGGTTTGTTCTTTGTATCCATTGGACTTGTAGAATCTCTGAGTTATTTGAATCTAGGCCCTTGACGGACAGATCAAGATGTGCATCAAGCAATGGCCCATGGCTTGGAATGTCACCATGCTTCCAGACGTGGCTGCGTTGGCGACTGATCAAGCAGCAGCCCACGAAGACAAAGAGAATCTCATTGAAACAGCTGAGCGAGAAGAGTGGATCTTCGGCCAAGTTTATGGATCTTCGACCAAGTTGTTTTGATAGCTTTTGGTGCATCCAGCTGTGGTTTAAGGACAGCAAAGCTTCGTTCAATGGAGGCCAAGCTTGCAGTTGACCAACGGCTTCTGTCGTCCATGAGCACAGGACGTCAGACTCAGAGTTACTTACTCTGTCAAGCAAGTCATCAACTGTTAATATTGAAATTGATGATGTAAATATATTAAACATAATAAACATATTTAATAAACATATTTAATAAACATATTAACATATTTAATAAATAGTGCTCTTGGTTTCGTGATGCTGTCGTCTTCTGTTCACCTGCAGGATTTGAGACTTTGCAAGACTGCCTCGACTGGCTGTCATGCAAGAAGAAGCTGGCTCTTGCAAAGACAGCTCAGGAGTTGGTGCAGAAGTACCAGGAGATGCAGAGCCCAGTGTGTGAACTGAATGACATGGCCGAACTGCCAGGGCAATATGCCACAGTATCTTCAAAGGTTACTGCCCATATCAAGGGCAAGAAGCTGGTGGTGGCAATCTGCGACTTCAATGTGCCTGGCGTTCCTTGATTTGAATCATTCTGGACCTGCATTGTTCTTTGTGATCTTTTTCACCCTAAGGCGCGGAATTCCTTGATCCAGCCAAAGTTGATCACGGGCTTGGCCAACTTGTGCCGAACACAAGGCTTCAATTACTGTGGACACTGTGACAGTGTCAAGTTAAATTCATGTTTTGATTCTTGGCTTCACCATGTTTAACCAGAAATTCTGCAGGCGTGGAGCAAACTGTGGTTCTTGCGACTATGGCAAGTCGCTCAAAGGAAGAGAGTCAGGCAGATCCACTTGAGGATTTTGTTGAATTTTGCAGGGGCATGAAAAGTATTGGATTCGGAGCACAGATTCCTTGGAACCAATGTCTAAGTGTCCCCGGTGAAGAGCATCTCGGCTTTGATCAAGTTACAGGTGACAGGTAACAGGAGATAGTAGTTGACTTGGAAGTGTCAGCCAGTGTGACAGTGTGACAGGTGACTCAGACTCAGTCAGTGTGATTTGCAAACTCGTGACAGGTGACTTTGAAATGTATCTGTGAACTCAGGTCATACACGCAGCAGCAATGGGATTTCACTGCCAGTGGCAGGCTCTTTTTCCTCTACAATGACCTGGAGAGCGCAACTGCTGATAATCACTTTGCTTCGTTGAGTGAGTTGGCAAGGACGGGACGGGTTCCCAATGCCACGCTGATCTCCTCTCAAGACATGGTCCAAATTGGGACGCCGGGGGACTCTGAGCGCACAACTGTTCGGTACATGCCATCAACAAGGTCGGCTCAAAAGGGTAGTGATGCCAGCTTCCAGCTGTACAAGACACTGTTGAGCACAAGCAAACTTCGGAAGCCACACCTCACAGGGCTGTTGAAGCCAAATGACGAGGTTCATCTGGTGGACATTCACCCCTATGTCGGGGACCACTGTTTGGCCACCATGCTGATGAAAGACGAACTGCCAAGTGGAGTTGCTATCAAGCACTTCCTAGTGCAGTTAAACAACTTGAAGGCGTCCGTCCAGGCAGCTGAATGGTGTGTCAAGCGATTGGGTCATTGGCTGGCACAGCGCTGGATGAAACACGAACTGAAGTTGGAGCTCGATGGCAAGACAGTCAGCCCAGACATTGATTGCCAAGTTCTTTGCTTGCATGTGTTTTTCTTCAAAGGTTCATTGTTCATGTACTTTATGTGAAGGATTTCTGATTTTTTGAGGGTTTCGATTTTCTGTTTCTGAGGCTTTGTCGGAAGAGGATGTGAAGCACCTCAAGTCCTTGAATGGGGTGTGGGATGCTTATGAAGGAGTCCGTGCTCTTGGCGCCAAGTTGAAGGTTTGCCAGATCTCTGGATCTGCTGTTGTCATCATGTCACCTGTCAAAGCTGAATTTCAGCAAGCTCCTCACTTCATTCGTGAAAGGTTTGAAGCTGTGGAGAAAGAGCACTTTGAGATGTATGGAGAGCTTTTGAAGTCCAAGTTGACACCAGAGGCAGGCTCAACACCCTCTTCAGGGACCACCTTGGATCCACGTCCCATTGCAAATGGGGCAGAGGCAGACATGCCGGCTGAGACCATGCCAGCCTTTGAAAGCGAAGCCAAGGTCCGAGAAAAGTACAACATCAAAGTAGAGTGCAAAGCATTTGACCCCAAGAATGTGATCCTTTTGGTTTCTGACACAGGTGTGGCGTTCATCTACAGCAAGGAGGCTGTGACTTTGAAGCGTGGGATGCGACTTGGGGGTTCTGGCAGTGGCAAGTTGGTTCAGGGAGATGAGTGTGGCATCAAGTTCGAACTTGGCTCTGACAGAGATCTTCTCGAGGCGATTTTTTCATGTTACATGATTTTTGTAATGGTTTTTGACATGTAAGGACATGACTCAGACGGACAGGTGACATGCAAACGGATTGTAATTGACAGGTGAATCTTGGCTCCAACGCCGATGATGAGGACGAGGACAGCAGCAAGTGCAAGAGAGGATCTTTCTACATGTTGGCCAAAGACTTGATGAAGAATTCTCCAGCAACGGAGATCAGCCTCACAGGATACAAGGTTGTTTCCAAAGGAGATGCAGCACTGGGCGATCATGGCTACGACCTGACAGCAGAGGAGGGCACTTCTTGGGGCTTTGTGGCCAAGGACAAGGATCCTAAGAGCTTCTCTTCGGGCAATGCATTCCGACCTTTGGCTCTGCAGCCCAAGCCATTGCACCCCAATTTCACATGGATGTGGAGGTGCAACTGGCATGCGGTCCATGCCAAATTGAGCATCAAGAAACCCTTTCTCACTGTGAACCGGGACGTGAAACTCGAAGCCAATAAGCCAGTCAAGGTTGTCAAGGAAGATTGAGAGAGATCAAGTGATCGTCATGAGCGGCGTGCAGTCTTTGCCTGTTTGTGAGTGTATAGCTTGGTTGGCTAGTTTTTCACTCTAATTTCCATGGCAAAGCAACTGCTTTTCAGCATTTTTCAGCTGAACCTCAAACAAACCTGGGGGAAAAAGATCAGAACAAAACACTGTCAGCCAACTTTCAACTGTGAAATTCCTTGTGTTCTAGCATTCTTCGTAGGCATGGCCTCATCTCATTCCTTTTTCATTTGCCGCAGCCACCAGTCAGCAGTCTCAGTCGCCACCTGTCAGTATTAGGTCTTGTCCAATGGCGGGCCAGGCAGCGTTTGACTTTGTTTTCAAGGAGATGATCCCTGAAGGGGCGAAGAAGGATGCCAAACCTTCAACTTCATGTCCAGAGGAAGAGTCAGATGGTTCCGCAAAGAAGATTTCTTTGAAGTGGCGCCCTTCAGTCAGCGATCTTGTTTCCGAGGATGAGAAAGATCCATGCGTTGATGGGCAGCCCAGTTGTTCATGGGGGAGTCTCGGCAAGCCTTCTTCCAAGACTTCTTTATCATTTCAAGTCGAAGATGAAAAGTTTCAAGTCCAGCTGGCATTGGAAGATGGCAAGCTGGCATTGGAAGATGAAGTGAAACCAAAGACCATGGAGCATGATGATGGCACCAGTGTCCCTTCTGGCAGCAAGCAGCGTGCCTGCAAAAAGAAGCCTGCCACTGCTGCCTCTCCAAAGAAGAAAAGTAAGGGTGAGGAGCCTGCCTGCAAAAAGAAGCCTGCCACTGCTGCCTCTCCAAAGAAGAAAAGTAAGGGTGAGGAGTGCACAAAGAAAGTCAAGGCGAG